CTTTTCTTTCTTTCTTTCTTTCTTTCTTTCTTTCTTTCTTTCCTTCTTTCTTTCTTTCTTTTTTTTTAAGATTTTATTTATTTATTTAACAGATAGAGATAACAAGTAGTCAGAGAGGCAGGCAGAGAGAGACAGGGAAGCAGGCTCCCCGCTGAGCAGAGAGCCTGATGTGGGGCTTGATCCCAGGACCCTGAGATCATGACCTGAGCTGAAGGCAGAGGCTTAACCCACTGAGCGACCCAGGTGCCCCTCCATTAGCTCTTTTCAAAGAGTGAGGATCAAAACCCAGCTCCCGGAATACTCTCCCTGAATAACTTAATCATCTGTCTTGGCCACTTACTCCCTCCCTTCATTCTTCTGTCATTCGTTCAGTGGTCATGGTAATAAGTGATGTCCGGCCAATCCAACAGAGCCACACTTTGATCCTGTAAACTGAATCTCTTGGAGGGAATGCTGGGAAACAGGGCTGGATTTCCAACCTCTCAAACTATTGGTCTAGTGGTCATGCCTGTTCACTTGCATAACAGAACATCTTTTTTCCATTGTACAGACAGGCAAGGGCCCCAGGTGCCTTTTCTTTGCTTCTCAAGAGAGGCTGCCAGGGAAAATTTCGGGGGCAACAGTGAAGTATTAGGTGCCCATGATCCTTGTCAGGGGCAGCCACAGTGTCCTACCTGGCCCTCTGGCTTTGTCAGCTTGGATGCGTCCCAGTCGGAATACAACAGCACGTTCATACTCCTTAATGATCTAAGAGATTAAGGGAGAGCATTTAGTCCTAATGGTTCATCAGCTCATAGAGAGAGCCCAATTTATTTCCCAGGGTGTTACCTTCAAGCACATCCATATGGAGATGGGGAAGGTAATGATCATCAGCAGCAAAGAAAGGGAAAACAGGATCCAGCCACATACACCAAGCCCTTTACTGCTGATGCCTAAGAAATGAGGACGAAACAAGCCTGTAACTTACATGGTTCTTAGAAAACCCATTCAGCCACATGAGTAAAGCTACTATCCAGAGTGCTGGCCAGGCCGGGTGGCACTGAGGAGATCAAAACCCATGCACACCGGCAAATGCAGTAAAGACACACACGTGCGTACGCATACACACACACACACACACACACACACACACACACACACACACACTATTTATTGAGGGTTTTAGATTGAAATTGACCTGTCCCTTCCAAAAAAGTCTCATAGCAATCAATAATAACAATTACCATGACATTTAGTAGGACAGACATGGTTTATTACCCTCAAAACACATAAAACATGTTACCCAGTGTATAATTCATGGACTAGCTCCATCGGAATCATTAAAGGACCATTTTAAAAGACACATTCCTGGGCGCCCAGGATTCTCCAGGTTGGAAAGCAAGACAACCTCTGAGGTAGAGAGTTGGTACTAGTATCAAAGGGTGACAGTATGGCTGGGAAAATGTTTTGAAGAGCCTGTAGGTATGAATTTCTATGAGAGCTCTCTTACCTATCAAAGCTGTGGCTTTGGGTAAGCTGCTCAATCTTTCTGAGCCTCCATTTCTCCATCTGTAAGATGGGGATAGAAGTCAACTACCCTGAAGGATTTGACAAGGACTATATGAGATTATTTTTATATGGCACTTGCTCCATACATTCATATCTACATTAATAAATGCATATTACTATCTTTATTCCCATACAGATATTACAGGGACTTGTCAGACACTGATATTTGATGTTTCTGACTTTTCAAGGAATTTTTTACATTGGTTCATTACATCAGATGTCTTTTTGCTAATCACACATTATGATAAGAGGGGCATTTTGGTTTAAAGAATATTGCCCTGCAATGCTAAGTTCAAATCGTATTTCAATCACCTGAAACTTCGTAGCTTTAATCACTTCCATTAGACAATTTGTCAAGTCTTAGAACTCTGGTTTGTAGAACACACAAGTCTGGCTGACCCTTTTATTCTTTTCTTTTCTTTTTTTTATTTGACAGACAGGGATCACAAGTAGGCAGAGAGGCAGGCAGAGAGAGAGGGGGAGGCAGGCTCCCTGCTGAGCAGAGAGCCCGATGCTGCGGGCCGATCCCAGGACTCTGGGATCATGACCTGAACCGAAGGCAGAGGCTTTAACCCACTGAGCCACCCAGGCGCCCCTGACCCTTTTATTCTTATTTTATTCTTTAATCACTATTCCAATTTCTTTTTAATTCTCATTCCTTCTTTTCTCCTCTTCTTGACAACTGCCCCCCACCCTCGCTCCACACTTCCTCCAACTGATTCATATTCTCCACACAAGCACCCGAATTAACTGTATGTACTAGATATCTTCACCGAGATAATTCCACAAACACCTTATGCTACCTCTAGACCCCTTAATGCCCAACCATCCCCTTTATTGTTCGCGTTAGACGCAGGCTTATCGCTGCCATTCCCCTAGCCAACTGCAGAGGGCGCTAGGTCGAACTGATACCACCTCATATCCAGCCTCACTCACTGCTGCTGACTCATCAGTGCCCACATCATAAGTTTAAAAACATTCAGGAGGGTTCTAGGATTCTGCTCTTAAAATAATGCTGCGATGAGTGCTCTTAAATACGTGTTTTTGTACACCCATGTAGGGTAAATGCCAGGCAGGGAAAGTGTTAGATCAAAGACATTAGTATTTACAATTTTGTTAGGTGGTTAAGTGCTCTTCAACGAGTTCACGCCAAACCGCACTCCTGTCAATAGCCCACTGGGACACTATGCCGACTGCCCAGTGCTTGGTACCAGTACCCAGCAAGTACTTTCTCAGTTAGTGCAGCCCCAAGATGGGAATTATCTACGTTTTAGATACACATGTAGTATTAAAAACTCTTTGTGCAAATGTCCTTTAATGGGTTCTAAATACACGTAAAGATATACCCAATGGCAATAAGGACTTACCTGCATATTCAAAGTTTACATTTTTAAAATACCACCTTCCAAAACCTTGGACCGCAGTGAGGTGGATTGGACTATCATTACGCAGAATAAAAAAAACATTTTGTGCATTTTAATAGAATCTTTGTTGCATTTTGTTTATTCATGCTTATTTAACCACTGTAATGATACAGCCTATATATAAACATTCTCATCGTACCAAAAAAAAAAAAAAAAAAAAAAATCAAAGCGGTACAGATGAAACTGAAGTCCCCCTGACCATCTTCTCCTTAGTCCACTTTTATCTAGAGAGATCCCATTATTATTGATTTGGCGTGTTTCCTGATAGACCCATTCCTATGTATTTACATACATATGTCTATCCTTAGAAAACACTTGGCTTAGATTCATAGATCTGGTGAGCTACGGTGCCACACTAACACTCCAACTTTTTTGTTTGTATTTATTTATTTTTAAGATTTTATTTATTTATTTGAGAGAAAGAGAGTGTGAGAGAGAGTACAAACACAGGGGAGTGGCAGAGGGGGGAGGACGCTCCCTGCTGAACAAGGAGACCACCGACAGGAGGGGGGGGGTGCGCAGCTCCATCCCAGGACCCTGAGATCATGCCCAAGCTGAAGGCAGCCTCTTCACCAACTGAGCCCCCCAGGTGCTCCAACACTTCTACTTTGTAAAAAAACCGAATGTATCTTAGAGATATTTCCATGCCAGTATATGCAGATCCACCTCCTTCTTCTTAATTGTCGCACATGGGTCCATCCCAAACTTGTGTCTGTTTATGTAGCTACTGGACATTACAGTTGCTTGCAGTTCTGCACCTACCAGCAAGGCTGCAATGATAGGCTTGTACAAGCCTCCCTGGGACCAGACGTGCTTTCCTGGAGTCCCGGTGAATGAGTTGAGCCGGCAGCACATTTCCGGCCCCCTGGGGTGTAGTTCCCTGCTGCAGTTCACAGCTGCAGTTGCAATCATTGGGATTCAGGATCCTTGGGGGTTCCCTGAGCTGTGACTTTAGCAGTGCAGCCCACAAAAGCTGCTGGGACTCCAACAAGATCCCAGTTACGCTTTATGCCCTGAGCAAGCTCGAGAAATTTCCAGACTAGCTACAATCTGGACACCAAGCTACGTTAGCAAGTGTTCTTGGCAGAGAAGCACCCCCCACCACCCGACCCGTAGGCGCACCGCCAGAGCCCCATCAAGTCCTTGCCTTGCCGCAGGAGCTGTGAGTGAGGCTTTGTTAGGTACTAACGGCGCAGAGGGAGACAAGAGATGTGGACCTGATTCACCTTCCAAGATTCACACCTGAGCATTAGAATCACCCGGGCCACTGCCTCCGCATCAGGAGAATTGAGAATTGTGGAGCCTGGGGGTGTCATTAGCTGCCGTTCAAGTGGGGCTGTGAGTGCAGTCGCTCCCTGCAGGGCCCTGCCACCAGCCTTGTGAGCTGGCTGCGTGTGGCTGCCGGCAGAGGCAATCTCTCAGCCTCCCCGCTCCATGAGCCCAGGATCTGAAAAGATATGCAGGGACTATGTCCCAAAGCCTCCTCAGAAACCTCCCATACGACCTCTACTTCAGCCTCCACGAGGCTGCTGCAGGAGCCTTCCCTGGAGGCTGAGGGGGTGGCCGAGGGAAGGGGCCCCACAGCCTCTGCACTAAACCGCAAGCCCTTGGCACACCTAATCACCTCCTGCTTTCTCCCAGTCCATGGCTGTGTATTTTCTGGGAGTAACTGTCACAATACCATACGGTCACCACCGTCCGCTTACTTCCCAGCTGAGAACTGGATTTTGCCACCCCAACAAGCTGCTCCCGATCTCCCATGCATCCATTTGACCGTCTTTTGCCAGTTCTCCACCAGGCACGGTGCTGTAACTGAGGAGACAACGGAGAATAAGATGGGGAACTTCCCAACAAAGGTTCACGTCTAGCAGGAAAGAGACCATAAGGGCAGGTGTAATAATACCCTTGGGTCTCTGCTGTGCTGCCTTCTAGGCAAAAAAGTGGGGATTCCCTCCTGTATGTGGCTGGGACAAAGAACGGGGCGAAGTCTAGTCAACACGTTTCTTTCAGTCTGGAAAGACAAGGGCGAGCTCAAATAAATTAGCACAGAACCCAGCCCACGCTGCTGATGCTGGAGAGAAGGACCCTGGGGCTTTGGCTGAAAGGACTTCAGGGATAAGCAAGCCCGGCCCTTCATTCTGCAGCCAGAAAAATCTGGTTAGTCTTGTCATCAACATCTCAATCTCTCTTTGAGTAAAGTGGGACCTAGAAGTTCCACCAATTGGCAGACATCCCAATCTGCCTTGAATGACTCCGGCAGTGAGACAAGACTAAGTTTCACATGCCTCTGGGGCTTTGTTCCCAGCACCTAGCTACAGCCCATAGCACAGAGGAAACTTAAATGCCCTCTAGGTCTAGGTGTAAACACTCAAAGCAAGGTTCGTAACTTGTGTGAGGCTAGCCCCACAAATACGGCGCTAATGGTGGAAATGAATATTAGTACATAAAACAGGCTGGGTGACTTGGCTCCTTATTTCTTATTTTGGCTTGGTCAATAGTATTTAATTGTGAGAGCAACACTACATACAATCCTTGCCCCCAGATCTGTGTTACTGTAAAATAGCTATTTCTTCTCTAAGCAGAAATAGAGTTTGAGGTACTAGGACATTGTTTCAAAACACCAAAATCCAATGATGTCTATAACTACAATGGGATCATAATCCACAGCTTCCAGAATGGCAAACATTAAAGACCCACAATATCACATTTTTGCAAAGTTGTGGAGCGACCTGAGCCCTCATGCAAACTGACACAATCATCTTGAGAAACGGTTTGAGAGTATCTCCTGAAGCGAAGCACACCCTTGTCTACCTCTCAGTCTTCCACTTCTCAGGAATACCTGACAGAAATGAGCGGTGATGACAGTGAAAACCCATTCGAGAATGGTCCTTGTGATTTTATTCATAAAATTCTGGAAATGGAGAGCCACCCAAATCCCTCAACAATAAAGTGAATAAATA